AGAGAGGAACTCTTTAAATTCAGGGTCAGAGAAGAACTCTTTAAATTCAGGGTCAGAGAGGAACTCTTTAAATTCAGGGTCAGAGAAGAACTCTTAAATTCAGGGTCAGAGAGGAACTCTTTAAATTCAGGGTCAGAGAGGAACTCTTTAAATTCAGGGTCAGTGAAGAACTCTTTAAATTCAGGGTCAGATCCAGGAAGGTTTTTGCTGTAACATTGTGAGGTGTCAACATGAACCCTGATTCAGGGCATAATGAATTTCTAAAACAGATCAACTCATTAGTGACTCTGTCAGAAAACAATGTGTGTGTGCAGTGAATAATAATATGAATCCAGATGAAGTCAAACAGCAGCAGTGACAGATGACTGCAGTCTGACCCGTGAGCTGTTATCAGCTGCTAATTTCTCTGCCTGTTGTTTGGTGTAAATAGGTTAATCCAGGTTTATCTCTGCAGAGCTGACACTCTCTGAGTTTGATACGCTGCCAACACGGTGACTGAGCACACTGAACACATGTTCACAGAACTCAGTGGAAGCATGTGGTCGACTGTTAAATTCAAGTTTGATTCTAATGTGTGTGATCTCTTCCTTTAGCATTGAGAGATAAAATGTTTGAATCTATTTCTCAGAAATCAGACTGATGTAGAAGTGTGTGATGTGGTTGTAGTTTAGTGGAGGTTATGAGCTCTACTGAGTTTGACTCTTCTCTCATCTGTTCATCTTTCTACACTCGGTTTGTTTCTGTCCTCGTGAGGTCTCGTGTTGGTCGAACTGCTTTAACTGATTCCTGTTGTCACTGTGTATTTGACAGGTGCTTTATGAAGTGTATTGTTTTACACAATCAGATGAACTCATCTACACTTGTATCTTAAAATATAATAATTATTATAATGTTCAAGAACAACGAGTCGTCTGTTCGCAGCAGCTGACATGAAGTGTTTCTTCTAGAAGCTGCTCTGAGATAAAGTGACTGATCCTCGACTTAGTCATGACTGAGCACTTCTCACAAGTCAACATGACTCAGCACATTGAGATGCTGAGCTCACTCTGACCTCCAGTGGACCAGTGACATACTCTGACACTGCCTTTATCTAGAGACACACAAACATCTCAGTCCACCAGAGACTCTGGAGCCACTCCACAAACACTGAGGACAACCAAGGACTGGACAGCAGTCTGGACACAATCCAGTTCACACACAGTCCAGATACAGTCAGTCTAGATACAGTCAGTCCAGATACAGTCAGTTCACACAGACCAGATACAGTCAGTCTAGATACAGTCAGTCTAGATACAGTCAGACCAGATACAGTCAGACCAGATACAGTCAGTCCAGATACAGTCAGTCTAGATACAGTCCAGATACAGTCCAGTTCACACACAGTCCAGATACAGTCAGTCCAGATACAGTCCAGTTCACACACAGTCCAGATACAGTCTAGATACAGTCAGTCCAGATACAGTCCAGTTCACACACAGTCCACACACAGTCCGGATACAGTGAGTCCAGATTAAATCAGGTCAGAACCAGTCCACATACAGATCAGATCTAGTCCAGCTAAGTTGTGTGTGTGAACAAACTCTTCTCGCGGACCTTCAGTCACTCTGACCGGGTGGTGATGTGGACAGACCCGGACACAAAGATCCGAACACACAATCACACTGATCGGACAAAAGAAGGAAACTCAGCCGGGTCCCTCACCTCTGTCTCGGCTCTGAGGACACAGAGTTGCAGCTCTGGACCGACAGCAGGGTGGAAGACTTCCGCGGTCCCAGCGGGGACGGGAGCAGGCTGACGTTGGACGGGGACGGGGAGAGCAGGTTGCTGTTCCCCGGGGAAGGGAAGGAGCCCCGGCGGCACTCCAGCAGCAGCTCCGCGCTCCCCACGTCGTTCAACCCGGGGTCGGACGGCAGGACGAGGATAGGGGGGACGGGGAGTCCTGACCTCGGAGTCGGGTCGACGCTGCCGCAGCTCACGGACGATAGGAAACCGGGGAACGGCCCGTAGCTGGTCCCGGTACCCGCCTCCGGACACAGCCCGGCCGCCGCACAGTCCGCTCCCTCCAGGTCCGTCTCTCTGTGGCGGCTGGCTCCATTCTCCACCGGCAGACTGAGGACCGGACGTCCGTCCAGAGAGATGTTACTGAGGAACAGAAGGGCCGCCTGTCTCCGGCGGGAGTTCTCCCGGTTCCTTCGGCTCAGTTCCCGGTTGCAGAGCGGTTTCCTCCCGGTGGCAGCGGCGGTGACGGCAGCAGCTGCCGCCGCCATGTCCCGCTGCTCTGAGGAATTGACCACGCCCCCGCCTGTCAGAGCTTTTAAACGGCCTGGTGCGCAGACACGCCTTCCTCTCCTCTCATTGGTCCAGACGGGAACACGTAATGACGCAATGAGCCGGACCTTTCGGGCCACGCTGTAGAAAAATAACGTAAATAAACTAAACGTACTGATTATAAATATATATTTGAC